ACAATGCCAAAACTCAAGTTCCCTGTTGGTTGTTTTGTACATGTGAATGAAAAAGGCTGGATGGATGAAGAAGGGGTAAAGCTATGGCTTGATAATGTATGGAGCAGGCGACCAGGTGGACTTATTCAAAAACGTAGTCTACTGGTGTGGATATGTTCAGGGCTCATTTAACTCCCAGCACCAAGCAAAAGCTTGCAAGACTAAACACAGATGTGGCAGTTATTCCTGCAGGATTAACATCGTTAGTACAGCCACTGGATGTATGCCTAAACAAGCCATTTAAAGATCGCAGTCGAGAACAGTGGAATGAATGGATGGTTAGTGGCGAAAAGTCATTCACAAAAGGAGGAAACATGCGTGCTCCACAATTGGATGTTTTGTGCAAGTTTGTCATAAAAGCCTGGAATGATATTGATGCAGAAACAATAATCAAGTCTTTCAAGAAGTGTTGCATATCAAATTCATTAGATGGTATGGAGGACGACTACTTGTGGCAAGATGAAGAGGAAGCCGAAGCTGAGACCACACCATCTGATACGGAATTCGATCCATACGATGACTGCCTTGCAAATGTATCACAAGATGTCATTGATATTTTTATGATATCAGATGATGAACAGGATGATTTTAAAGGCTTTTAAAGGGAAAGTATTATGCCAGCAAAACCTATAAAAATAGCTTGCAGTTATGATGGGCGTTGCTGACTCGCCAGGGACTTGCCCGGCACTTGCTCTCTCTATTGTTTGTTATCGTCCTCCTATCATCATCAGTTCCAGTTTGGTTGACAGCTTAGAAAACAAATAGCATGGCAGCTCCCATGGGTTTATTGTCTTATCCTTCCTTTCAGCTTTAGAGTGAATTAGGAAAAGTTTAATCACTTGCACTGTTTTATTTTTACATGTTTGATGACAAACAGCCTTATGTTTATAAGTGACAGTTTTCCTGCTAAGTACCTTTATGCCATAAGCATTTGAATTAAAATTACCATATTGAAATCAAATCTGATGTTTTTTAATGTTTATTTGGTGTGCGTTGAAAGAGGGGTAGTCTTATACGGCGAGTATAGCCCAAACTCTATATTTTAACTGGAAAAGTTGGGGGTCGTCTTATACGCCCAGTCGTCTTATACGCCGGAATATACGGTAAGAGGTTTAATGGCTCTTGTGTGCCACCCAGATTTCTGCTTTAAGGTGGGCAGCCATACCATTTTTTTTTTTAATGAGATAAAGAAGTAAGTAAATGCAGAGTCCTTGTTCCCTGCAAGGTCTCTCTCTTCTATAGTAAGCAAAAGGTTGGCATAGCCTTCTTTCCATATCATCCTATCTATTTGTTGTGCCTCTAACTTGATCGCTTGATCTCTCTGAGGTTTGATATCCAGTGAATCTCAGGACTCATCTCTTCATTCAGAAATAGCACTACGAATAATTTTTGAGAAAGAGAATGCCATGGTAGGGTAGAAAGAGGAAGAGAAGACTGAGTGAGGGAGAGAAACTGGCTATATTTTACAAAGTATCCAACTTGCCTGATCAGATCCATTAAAATTTTATTTGCAAGAGTCCACCCACTGAGCATCTGGAAGGAAAGGGAGGCAGCTAACACGATTATCTGTCTGGATTCAAAATAATCTCCCCACAAAAAAACTTTTTAAAAAAGTTAATTAGCATCTCAAGGATGCAGAGCAGAGGACAGCAGTTGCTTCATGATTTAACAAGGCAAATTGGGGACAAGCTGGATGGCCAAGGGAAAATAAGACTTCACTGGTCCTCCCCCCTGGTAATTCTTCAGCCTTGTTCTTTTTTCAAGATCAAAGCTTCCGCAATCAGCCCAGGCCAAAGATTCCCCAACGTGTAAACTCTTGGGATCTATTTGAAGTCTGTGGACTTTTTCTTCAATTGGGTTATGCAGCTTGGAGAAAATAGATTTCCCCTAACTCCCTTCCATCCAAATGTTGCCAGCAATAAGCGAATAATCAAACTAATGTATTTCCATTTTTATGCAGATGATTAAAGTGGGAGAGAGACAGCCTTTTGTAACATGCAGCGATTTGCTAGATATCAGTATTTTGTTTAAAAAGCAGTGGGGGAAGGACAGCCCATTATATTAATCAGAAGGAGAAATAAATGCGATGTTTGGGAAAATATGCATAGCAATAAAGCTTTTGGTGCTGGAAGGTGCCCAGTTGTGATGACAATTATTATGCAAATACCTAAATGATTTACTCTCTGATATTTAATAAACTTGATCATGTGGCTTTCTGTGGCTAGTAAAGCTTCGTTTACATTTCCCCCTTGTCTGCTTTGATTTGCCTCCTTGGGATCACTTAAAGTGCATTAAGAAGTTGAGCATGAGATCAGGGTGATTTGCTGCAAAACCTAAATAATTCATTTAAACGCTGCTGCTTTCTGCCGGTGTTTTTACAAATGCTGTAACAAGACAAGCAACAAAATGTTTTACACGGAGAAAAAACATATTACTTCTAAAAAATACAATTCTTTTGGACAGAAATGCCTCTGGGGCTCCCCCCTCATGTTCCCTCTATACTGTAGGAACAAGTCTGCAAGGTGCCTTCTTAGGCCATGGATGTCATGCCAAGAGCCCTGGGTGATGATCCTGCAAAAACTGTATAAAAACCCTGCACATAAATATACATTCAGTCCATTTTAACACTGGTCTTGTATGGAAAGCTCTGTTCCATCAGAGGAGAGCATGGGATGCCCAGGGAAGAGATCTGTTTAAAAATCACTCAGTCATTTTTAGCTTTCTGTTAACATATAGAAACTTCATACACATTTCCCAATCGATCCTTTTGCTGATAATTTCCCTGGTGTCCTTCTCTTTCATAAACAATAATGTAAATTCTCTCCACTATTTTGCATGCCAAACTTTCTATGCCATTTTTTCAAGTGCATGTATTAGTATATATGTAGGCATGCATATGTGCGTCATGCACGTACTGTACATAAAACATATGTATGTATGTATATATATGTATGTATATATGTGTGTGTGTGTGTACACACACACACACACACACACACACATATATATGGTCTCTAATTACGCTAAAAATGCAAATCCTTGGTAAATCCATACCATAAAAGAATCCGAACACCAGGATGATACTAAAACAAAACTGTTTAATATAAAAGCTGAGCCTTTCGTTGGTCAACACTACCGACATCATCAGAGCGTGATGTAAGATTGCTGGGAGTCCTTCTTATGCTGCCGTGCGGCTTTGCGCATGGCTCCTTGACCTGCCGGGTAGCTTTGGTAACTAGGTCGAGGAGCCGTGCGCAAAGCCACCCGGCAGCATTAGAAGGACTCCCAGCAATCTTGCATCATGCTCTGATGATGTCGGTAGTGTTGACCGATGAAAGGCTCAGCTTTTAGTGTGTGTGTGTGTGTGTGTGTGTGTGTGTGTGTGTGTGTATCAGTGTGTCCATGTGTATAATGTCTGACCCAAGAGACATTAGACAGCCATGCCCTAATGAACTCTATTTTGGTGGAATTTGCTTCTTTTACACATTGATGTAAAAACAGGTTTTTTTGTTACCTGCCCTAGCACTTTCAGAACTGAATACACCAAATGTCCAAGGAGAATCCCATGACTCTTCTATCATTATCTGATCATCTTGGCTATAGGATTCACAGGACAATTGTCAGCAACTATGGAAAACAGAAAGACCAAGCCTAACAGTTCTTTGGGATGGCTGTCTGGAGAAGAAAGGAAATTAGCAACAAAGGACTTGTGTATACAGGTTTGGGTGTGAATGTGTACGTACAAAGTCCAGCTCTTATTTGATCTTGCACAATCACTGTTCATTGAACAAAACTGATCATGGTCAAAAGCACATCCCTTTTGATTGATTTCATCATAGAAGGAAACAGAAAAGGAAGGTACTTGGGCAAAGCAATGATTTTTCATATTATAAATGTAAACGTGGCTATGTCCATTCCTAATTTCAGTTTACTTGTTCTTTATTTAAAGATTATGGTGTCCTCATGCAGTTACTGCATGTACCTAAAAATAGAACTTCTGAGCAACACAGCACTGCCTAATACTTAAGATGTATATAATGCTCTCAAATGTTCAAAATGCCCCCCTTTAATTACTGGCCATTAAGATAGTTTGGGATTCTTATTCACACATTGCAAAAGAGAATGCCAAGGAAGTGAAACAAGGAGGAGTGCTTCTTCCTGAGACACCTGATGACTTTAGAAACCCGAATCTTTACTCACTGTTCAAATCAGCCCTCAGTTATGAAGTTTACAATCTGATTTTTAGCTAGTCAATATTTCTCAGCCTAGCCTATCTCACCTGGTAATTTAAAAGTAAAATTATGGATTTTGCTTTGAAAAATAATAAATAGTGGCCTGATTCAACTTGGAACTATTTGAAGAAATCAACTTAATGTTTCTGTCTCAAAACTCTTTTGGAGCTATTATTTTCCAGAAGACAATATCTACGCTAATCCCCTATCCTGGATCTTTTCTATCACCCCATCTTTAATATTGTCCCTTCCTCTCTGGAGGTAAGCACACTTCCAGATGATGTCCCTGGACTGCAGACATATTTCTTATTTAGTTGTAAAGCCCATTTGTTTTTTAGGGAGCCCCAAAACATTCCAGGAATTAAAGGTGCTTCTAGAGGTTGATGGCTTTGCTTTATATATGCCAGTTTTATAGATAGATAGATAGATAGATAGATAGATAGATAGATAGATAGATAGATAGATAGATAGATAGATAGATAGAGATATTAAAAGAAAACTTAAATAAAATATAAGATTAGCTGCTGCAGGGAGCCTATCAAATACAAAAGAAATTTACTTCACATTATGTATCCCTGTGTTATGTCGGACCACTTAATACCCTAATGCAGCCTTCCTAGGCAAAGCTATTTTGAATTTCTCAGCAGTTACGGAAGATAGAAGAAAGCACTATTTATCTTTTTTAAAGGCGTGGGCAATTCACACAAGAGTGTTTTAAAAGAAACTGACCTTCTGCTCTGCAGACTTTTAGTGGTTGAGCGGCTGTTTTCTCCCTGTAGACCTTTTAGTCCTGTTTCATAAGTATCTGGTTCCTTTTAATAAATTCAGCACATTTTGATGGCAAAGTGACTACAAGTAGCTAAAGTGACAGCTGCTAGCGACAGGCGAGAGCTTGTTAAGCCCAAAAAGATGTCACACCATTTTCAGAACAGTGCTCACCGCCCCCAGCCCATCCTTTCTCTCCCAGCAGCTCTTTGGGATGAGCATAGAATAATATAATATATATTTTTTGCAGCCTGAAACAGGTAGTCAGCGAGGGTGGTTTATTCATTGAAGGTCAGGCTTTTGTGTTATGAAACTTCTAGCAGATGCGATAAGCAGTAAATTGCAGATCTATCACTTCCCCCCACTTCCCAGGGAGCGTGTGTGTGAAATCAGCAGAATACGGCCTCAGTTTGATTTATAGCCCACTTTTGACCAACTCTTATCTAGTTCCCACAAGCCCTTTTCTGATGCAGCTCATGTCTGAACGACAATAGACAACCACTGCCATTATGCTCCAAAATCGCTCTCTGCATTCTAGACACCTAAGATTACATCTGGGCTATTGATTTATTTCTGCTTCCCCTCCCCTCACCCCACCCCTCCCGGGACCAGTTTGTTCAGCCTGAACTAGATAGACTATTATTAAACTGAGCAAACAACTCCATGTGAACTTGCTAAGGAAATAATCATTTGCAACCACCTTTCTAACAACCTGGATGCACAAAGCAACCAAGGGTTTGAAATATTAAGCCTATTCTTAATGCGTGTAGGAACCACTTGTGCTTTGCTCAGATTATGTTTAATTTATACAAAAAGTACAATATCGCAAACATATTCTCATTCTCTTTCTTCAGCTCCTGTAGTCCTCCTATATATATATATTGTATATATTTGGTTTAAAATCCAAATAGTATTGAGATTTTCCCTTTTTCCACATTGGGATCTTTTTTTCTCTTTCTGTAGCAGACACATTTTATGGCTTTTAGAGCCTCAGGAAATATATAAATTTTGCAGTACATCCTACTTTATCTCCTCTAACAATCTACTGCCAAAGATGTTTTTTGTCCCTGTATTCATCTGTAAAACATCCAGATACGTTCTCTCATTTACATAGAAACATAAGTGGTAATACTAGCTAGCTATATTCATTCATTCTCATTGTCATCCTCATCCTCATAACTTTTTTGGGTTTTTTTTTTTTTGTATACTACTAAAGTGTTTTTTGCCCAAGGATGGAATGGAGATTCTTCTGTTTTAATCTCCAGACATTGTTGCACCTAAAGAGATCGCTGTGAGATTTATTTATGCATTCGTTAAATTATTTATTTTATTTAGAATAAATAAAATAATAAGGCTGGAAGGAACCCTGGAGGTTTTCTAGTCCAACCCCTTGCGTTGTCCATTCTGGACAAAGTGTTGTCCAGTGTCTTCTTGAAAACCTCCAATGATGGAGCAGCGATAACTTCTGGAGGTAAGCAGTTCCACTGATTAATTGTTCTCTTTGTCAGGAAATTTCTCCTTAGTTCTAGAGTGGAAGAGATTTGAGAGGTTTAAATAGCTGTCCATCTCACAGCTGTGACTCTGAGTGGTATATGAAGATTAAATAAATACTTGGAACCATATGCCTTTTTGGAGTGGGTGATATATTTCCAACCCTATTACTATCACACTGTCTTGAGACTATCCAGTTTTGTCCATATACTTTAGGACTCTCCAAACAGATGTCAAGAATGGCTGTGGGTCCTTCTGCAGCTAATAAAGTCCTCAGAAGTTGACTCTAGTCAATAAAAATATCAGCCATGTTATACATGAAAAGGCTTACACAGATCTTTGTTTGCAGACTCCAATCCTGAATAAATATCATCTTGAATACTAAAAAAAACTTAGAAAATCTATGGCTTCTCTGAAAAGTGATTTGAATTTCCATTCTATTCAATTGTTATTTGGAGCATTACTACCCTTCCAAACCACACACACACATATATACATGGGGGAACTGGAAAGATATACACTGTATGCATGTATATATATATTCACAGTATATATTTACAGTATAAGTTTACAGAATATACTGTACCCTTCCAGCTCTCCCATGTATATGTGTGCATGTGTGTGCGCCTGCTTTTGTGTGTTTGTGTGTGTGTGTGTGTGCATGTGTGGTTTGGAAGGGTAGTAATGCTCCAAATAACAGTTGAATAGAATGGAAATTCAAATCACTTTTCAGAGAAGCCATAGATTTTCTAAGTTTTTGTTTAGTATTCAAGATGATATATATAGTGGAATCATCTTTACTGACTTCACGTTACTCTTTTTACAATATATTCCACCTGTTCTGTTTCCAAGTATGAGGCATTGAGACTAGCAGGAGTAACAACAGTCTTGTCTTTATTACATACACAACAAAACCAAAAACAAAATGGCGCGGATTGTTCTTATACCCCCTCACAGGGACAGTCACAGCCAATCAATGCAAGGCATTTCTCCCACCTTGCGCATGCGCACAAGGCAGGAGACAGCCTGCCTGGTCCAGGGCATTCATATGTCTGCATGGGCCTTTCTGCAGCCTCCTGCACTTGCTGAGTGACTCAGCAGGCCCAGGACATAACACCACTCTTCTCATCTTATTGTATTGAAAGGGTAACAGTGAAGCTTAAAAAAAAGTATTAAGCGTATTTTTGCTACCAGCCAGCATGTGTTATAATCCAGTCAAGCATGTTTGCTTTTTTTTTTTTTTGCCTGCTGCTGAGTCTTCAGCAGGTGCTTTCATCAAGCTGTCTACACCAATACCAAGTTCCCTTTCCCTCAGTGGTTACATTTAATTTAGAACTCATCAACGTGAATGAGGAGTTCAAACCAATTCTGTCCATTGTGGATTTTCTGGCCTGTCTATTGTGAATTTTCACCTCCTACTCATGTCCAAGTTCTTTTTATAATTTTTTTTAGAGTTTATAATAATTATAAAATACAAATGGGAATGAAGATTAGAGAAAAGAGTGGAAAGAAGAGTAAAGTAAAAAGAAAAAGAAAAGAAAGAAAACATGTGACTTTTGACTCTTTTGTGCTATAGAATATAAAGTACAGTTATGGCCTCAACTTTTTGTTTTACATTACTGATAGATAGAAGCCATTTCTATAGCAATAAAATTAATCTAATCATCCAAACCTAACATAACATTTTCTTTCTTTTCTTCTGTTTCAAGCATAAAGTCCAGAAGCAGTTTCCAAATGGAAATAAAATGGAGTAAGTTCTTCTTTTTAATTAAAATAGTTAGCTTTGCCATCTTCACCCACTCATCTTTTTTTTTCTCAATCCAACTCTTTTCCAGTTTCTATCATTTGTTCCCTTTCCTGTTTCTCCTCCTTCTCCCTCCCCAAAACAGCCAAACTTTCTTGCATAAAACTGTATGGTTTTCATAAATAAAAAAGCTGACTTTCCCCATCCCCATCCTCCTCTTCCTTTCCATTATCATTGTCAATCAATTTATGATGCATCCTAAACATGCTTATTCGGTGGTGTTTATCCCAGGTAAATAATTATGAGATTAGAGTCTAATCTGTAGGTTAACCTTTTTAATGGACTTTCATTTTTGTGATGAGCAAATGCATATACAAATATAATGTCTTTCACAGGGCTTTTATTAAATATTTTCCCAGTTTCCAAAATCTTGGTTTTCTAGTCTTCTAAGTTTTATTAGTATCCACAATATCCTAAGTAGGGAGTTAAGTAGAGTGGTGTGCTATCATGAGCATTTATTTCATTTGTAAAACACATGAAGCTCTCCTAGATTAGACAGAAGAAAGGTTTAGAAATAAGGTATGCCCCAAAACCGTTGGTGCTCCAGGAATTATTACCCCAAGGGACACAAAGTTTTTAGGGAATGTTCTTAGAGTAGGAAAGATCGTACAATGGGTTTTATGATACAGCTACAAATGTGAAAAGTATTTTCCCCTCTGCTTTTCTGAAAAGACAATCTCAAGCACCTTTCAGAGCCAATATTCTATCATTGTTTCTTTTTTTTTTTAACCAAGAAAGTAATGCTAATTTACAAATATATGTAGTGGAAATATATTTCTATGATGCCCCTATTTTTTTTATCGTGGTGCAATTTATATAAATAAAGTCATTAAACTAAATTATAGTTTTGCCCTCTTTAGAAGATCCAGTGGAAAGGGTCAAAATCTGCAAGATGTGGCTGTGGCATCTCAATGGAAGTCCCCTCCTTTTCTACACTTGTGCAATACTGATACTTGTGCAAAAGAATCGGGGCTTGGACTGCCTTTGTGGATAATACTAGAATTGGGTAGTTATTTATTTATTCTGCAAATGTATGTGGTCGTGCCTCTTAATCAAATAACTCTCAGCTGCCAGCAAAGCATAAAACCAAAAATACACATATAAAAGTATTGAGAAGAGCAATAAAACGTGCCTAGTAAAAATAACCAATTCTTCAATCAACACAAGACAAAACCAGAAACATCCTGAGCCTAATGCCTGAAGGACAGCTAAGATATGCCTCCCAAGTTCTCATCCGATGACATTATTACATAGAAGGGACTTAGAGCAGGCCTATCTTGCCAAAACCTGTGGGATGGGTAGAAACAAGCAGATAGCCAATCCCTGAAGTATCCTGACCACATGCCATGCAGACTTTAAATATGACAATCAGGATTTTGAATGGTAACCAGAAGCCTGCTGGAAACCTGTGCATCTTTGGTAGTAGTGTAGTGTGCACGGCCCTGGTGCACACATTCTGAACCAGTGCAGCTTCCAAAAGATCTTGATAGCAGGTTCATGTTGAGCAGATATCAATAGTCTAAAAGGGAAGTGACTAAGACATGAGTGACTGAGCCGAGCCTTCTGATTTAGGAGTGATGCATTCAATGGATTTAAACAAAAGTTCCCATAGCCCTGGCCACCATCTGCTCCTTGAGGTGAATCAACAATTCCAAGAGAGCCCTCCAATTATACACCAGCTTCATCTGGGGAGAATCTAAAACACACAGCAGTTTGGTCTTATAAGGGTTGAGTTGAAGCCTGGTTCTCCCCATTCAGACCTTCACAACTTCTGAGCACTGGAAAAGAACCTAGACAATGTCACTAATATAATCAGTGATGAAAAAAATATTTAATCGATGCTGAAATATTTAATTGGTGCAGAAATATTTAACTGAGTATCATCCACATACAGTTAATATATGCCCCTCATGGCAATGATGACTCATACAATAGCTTCATATAAGATGTTAAACACTACCAGTGAGAAAGAACAGGGACATAAGGCTAGACCTTTGTTCTTCCAAACACTGACTGCAATCAGCTGCAGGAAATGGAGACAGTGTCTCCACACACACACACATACTTAAATTGTTTCATGAAGTATAATATGAAAAAATTGTGGAGCCATCAAGGATGAAGACACCACCCCTAGCTCTGAACTTTCAGAGTTCATCCATTAGCATGATCAATGTCTTCTTCATACTATAATCCAGACTTAAATTAGATTGAAAAGGAATTAGATAATCTGGTTTCCTCTGGGGCCTTTTGGAACTGCA